GCATTTGTGACAGATGTCCGGCGGTACTTTGAACGCGTAGCAGCCCTTTCGGTTTTTCGAATTTTTAATCAAAACGAAAGCAATATTTCAGTTCTTTTCACTCTTATCGTGGATAATGGGTCTCAAGCCAGTGATTTATGGCTGAAATAGAATCATGATTTTTCCGCGAAGGATTCCTTTAATTTGAATACTTTCGATATTTATAACAATCTTCTGGGCTCCCATTCGCTATTACTCAATCCCACGTTAACTTGTCTGACATCTTTCGCATTTATCTCTGAAATTCTGGAGCAGAAGTTCCACATTTCTCAAAGTGTGACGAGTTCCAATCTGCTTTCAGGGTTATCGTAACGCTGGTCAATTCATAGCAACGCAAGGACCTATTGGTCCGGAAGAAACCAGGGATGGAAGAAAGGAGAGCACAGTAAGCGAACGATTTTTTCACTAACCAGGAAAGGCCATTTGGTCAACCCAGCCAATTGAAATGAGTTGTATATGTCTACGATAACATGAGCGAAATACGCATTCAAATTACCCTTTCCACTACAGATTTGGGATGTAAGACGCGTGGCGCATCCCAGATTGGAATTGATCGATGCCGAATCTTTTCTCGAACCTCGCACTTTCCAGGTGGACGACTTCTGGCGCATGATCTGGGAGAAGAATGTCCAGTGCGTTCTCATGCTAACTGACTGTGTAGAAAATATGAGAGTAAGTTAATAAAATTCACACCTCTTGCCTTATTACTGTAGTCCTAGGCGCAGTACTGTACTCTAATCACGTCTTTCAGCAACGATGTACAAAATATTGGCCTCCTTTGGGCGAGGCACAACAATTTGGTGAGGTGGAGGTGGATCTGATCTCAGAATCTGAAGACCCAATCTGTCTTCATAGGGAATTCGACGTAAAGAGGAATGGCGAGCAAAGACAGGTATTCATCTTATTCGAGGGAGACCCCTTGCCCTCCCCGCCTTTACCCACCTTCTGCTCATGTCTATGTCCTTACTAATGCTTCTTATCATACCTGGGGCCGTAAGGTATGCTTCCCCGAATTTGGGGGACGAAAACCCCTTCAAATTTTTTGTTTTGAACGATACTGTTTCTTTATTTTCAATGCATGCTTACTTTAAGCTACGCACACATATATTAGATGTGGCCCTTTATCAGTACAATCATTGGAAATACAGAGAAAAGCCTTGGGTGATTTTGTCCTCCTAACCTCGCGAGGAAGCACACCTTACAGCCCTGCTCATCATGGGCAAGAAAACGAGTTCCTTAGCACTGAAGAACGACCTATATTGCGCGCGCGCATTTCCTCCCCTCGTTAGCCATTTTTTCATTTGCAAGCTAAGCATCTCGCACAATTTCCGCCATGATCTGGAACGTTGACGGGATTTGACCGTAATTCAATTCCAGTTTGACTTGCACCAGGCACTCCGACCCGAATGATTCCATCTGCAACTCCGCATGACCTAGAACTGTCACTTTTCAGGTCTCGCAATATCATTTCTTGAATTGGCGCGACGCTAAAGGACCAGAAAGTACTACGCATTTACTCGATTTCATTGAACGGGTATGGAACAAGCAGTACCGTAAACCAATCGTCGTCCATTGTAGGTGAGTGAAGTTTTGATTAATACCCTACGACAGCGCGGAACACGGAGCATGCCATCTCAGTCGCGGGCATTCGCGACGTCTGCACCCTCTCGCGTACACGCACTCTCGCATTTTCCTCTCCTCGCAGCGCTATGTTCTTCGCTATAACACGGCCGGCCTCATAAAGGGAATATCGGTGTTTTTCATGGCTTCTCTTGCTTTCTCTCCCCACCCACGTTCCTCATTGTCTCGAGCAAAATAACAGCCCGATCAGATCGCGACTCGTGTCTTCAGACGGGTGGCTATAACGTCGTAAAGTTCAGTTGACGTGCCCAAAAGCCAAAATGTGATCTGACTGAGCAGTGCCTTAGTGCATTAAGCACCTCTCGGAATAGCGGAATCCTCCTAACACGACGTAGCCTATGAGAGCGTGCTACTGCAAAATCGTCTGCAATCCCACTCAAAACAGCCCAACGGAGTGTAAAGTGATGGTCAACGAAGGGGCATTGCCGGTTGTCACTGATAAAGGATAAAAGGATAAAGCATTTGCCGTTGATCAATCCCTTTTTGGGATGCGGCACGCATTCTACTTCCATTTGTACATTCGTAGTGGCGTTTGAATGCGATGTGGCCTATACAATGACTTGCGGGGCCAGCCGATGTACAAGTCAGTGTTTTTATCCTCCCAGACAAGTCTGGTACCAATTAACCGACCCCGGAGGGATGGAAGGCTTGGTTGGCCCGGGCGACTCACGACCCAGGATTTGATCCCCGGACGCTCTCGTGGTAAGCGTGCCACTTGCCACTACACCACTTCCCACCACCCTCATCTATGCGGGTGTGAAAATTGATTGGCGACAAATGAGTGAATGGCCCCATAAGGAATTCTGAAGAAAGTAGCCTGGGTGATTTCATGAACAAATTTAATTGCATGCGCTGGTGTCGGTCGAACAGGGTATCTGTCGCAGGTGGACGCTTCTTGATCAGAGTCTCGCTAGAAGAACGTAGATATATTTTTTGGTAGTTTACCCTATGGTTCACCTTCAGTCGCTGTTTACTGGTCGTACACGCCACGTAACAGCACTGATTGTGAGATAACTCTCCCTCTTCAAAAAAGCGAGACATCTGTCGCCGTGGCACTACAAACACCACAATGACAGACACCCCTCCAGGTAAATCTGGTTAGAGGTTGTTCATAGTGATAGCTGATTTCTGGTAAATGATAGTTGTAATTAGTGACAATCGATAGAATACAACTGCAACAGGCTAATCATTTCATTGGCAGAAAACATTAACATTTTGTGAAGGCCGTCGTCACTTGTGGTGCATGGTCTGCACCCGACACTTTCTCGCTTTTTGAAGGAGGGTACTACTGGATATGGGGTGTACAGTTTTGAGTGGATGTTCAGAAAAAAAATCGAGTTCAAAAAATTTCTGTTACTCACGGCAAACATAATTTTGTTTATTTATTCACATGTATTTATTTTTATTTAAGATTTTTTGATTTTAATTTTATTTTTTTCCAGAACTGTCGACACGCTACGACAACAACGAAGTCGAATGGTCCAAACACCCGAACAATACCTCTCCCTCTACGAGGCTATTTCACTTGCAATAGCTGAAGAACGAATATGATGAAGAGTTTCTAACGGCTGCAAATCGCTGCATTTTTGCGAACTGGTGTCTTTGCTACCTGAACACAACTTCTCACGGAGAACTGGGCACACGTCCACTTGAACGATTCAAAATCATCTCGTTCTTTTCAAAGAGAATTAAACGAGTAAACAAGCATCTGCGAAGATTGATGTCCAATTATTTGAGATATCTGTCGCTGTTACAGAAGTTGCCCAGAATTTTTGCAATCGCGAATAGTATCATGAGACCATTCCTGAACAATTTTCACGCAGAAGCCGCTTCCCTTCGAAAAAAAAAATCCGTAGTTCTCCTTTGGGAAGGCTAAATAGCTTATTAGGTGAAACTCCAGTTCGGGGGGGGGGCACTCCATTTTTTCTCAATACTCAAGATAAGGATTAGAGGGCTCACGACACGTAATCGACTCATTTAAAGTAGACTTCTGATAAATATTGGTGTAATGGTGAGAAACCCCTGAAACGTTTTCACATTTCCGCCTGCCATGACCCAAGGGAACGGTCCTGGACCAGGAGAAAGGACACCTCCGCAAAGGGCTAAGGGTGCAGGAGCTCCAGGGTGGATCACCTGTGCAGAAAAGTGGATGGGATGTGGGCATGTAGGACATCCACCGGTCCTTATCAAAAGTACGCTCGAAATGAGTCGTTCACTTATTATCTTATCCGTAGTGTTCGATAGCCCAAAGAACTGCTCTCTAGTACTACGGATAAGATAGCAATGGAGTGGCCCCCCCGAACTGGAGTTTCACCGTTTTAGGCGGTTGTGCAACGCGAATGTCCCTCGCTCGGCCTAGTATCAATTTACTTCTTGAAGGTTCATTTATGGTAAGCGACCCGTCAGACCATGATGAGATACCCTCTGCCTAGCCAGAGTCAACCCTGCGTTGCGCAGTTCGCAACGGCACGTTGAGAGATCCTCAACGCACGCTGTATGGGCGGAGACACAGACGGCTCGAGCATGCGAGTGTGAATGTTCGCGCGAGAGAACGTGTCTAATCGGGCGAAACTGCGCAACGTGGCCGTTGAGAACTGCGCAACGCAGGGTTGACTCTGCTTGGCCATACTTTCCGCTAACTCCCAAAACTCGTGCGCTGTATGCCTCGATGTAATGAAGGATGTAGCTCTGTCCCCAGTGAGGAATTTTACCCGTGCGATGAAACGGTGCCGCGCAGTCGCCATTTCGGGCCTCGACATCACCGTCTTTGAAGCGTGCTTTTGGAGCTCTACATGACTTGTGTTAGAAACTCCAGCGTTCTGGTCACCTTTCTCGAGCCAACCCGGTATTGCAGTCGTTTCGCTTCTTCATGCTTTTCCTGAGATCCAAGATGTCAGAACTTGTGGGGCGGCCGCACACAAAGACTACTTTCATTGGTCTTCTCTTTTAGTGCACGTAAGACCCGCGGAGCGGTTGAAATCATAGAAGCGCGATGTCTCATACGCCGGATTCGAACTACTGTGTGAGAATTTAGACCGCACGGCTTGAAGTTCAGTCGCCACCATAAGATGCAGCCGTAATCGAGTCTTTGGGATTTGCCATGGTCATTGAAAAGAGGATAGAGGATTGAAAAGTCTGCCAATCCTAGAGGAAAGCTATAAACACCTACATAATTTGGGCTCAAAATTTATCAATCCTTAATTTAGTTTTCTTCACAATTTTCTTCAGCAAGAAAAGTAATTAGACGCTACGAATCGACGAATCGCTAATTCGAATCGCAAGTAATATGTCGCCTAACTGCGTCCTAGGCTGTGTCTTTTGGTGTTCAATCAAATCTTTATCAAACTTCAAAGAATTATGTACAAAAATGAACGAGAAACGTTCACTTGAAGATATTATCCTAATGAGGATAACAACAATGATGATTTCGTGACTTCGTGACCAAGACATTAAAAGGACTTCAGAAAAGACTATATCTGCCTTAATGACCCATTAATAAGAAATGTAGACATCTGACGAAAATGTTTGATAAGCGCAACTAAAGAGAAGCACGAATACACTGCATATGCATACGACGAATGATCACAACAACGGAATAGACGGACAGGCGACGACGCGGCACGACAGTGACAGCGCAGAATCGAAAAAAAGAGCAGGAAAAAAGGAGGTGATAATAATGATGAGTGCTTTCCCAGAACTGAACTGAACAAGAGGCAGTACAACAATTCCATAATCTCAGCAATCATCACGAACAGTGGTGACATCACAGACGGTGAACACGGAGAAAAACAATAAATACTCGCAGGTAGTCACGATCACAACCGATACTGAGTCGTTGGGCACTAGATCGTATTGGTATGGAATAAAAATTCAGGGGGAGACGGCGTCAACGACACTACTCCGGGAAAGAACAATTATGGCTAACCATAATCAGGGAAGTGACAATTGTGCACATACATTGAAGGATGTAAATAGAAAAAATAGCTTGCGAATGGACAGTAACAGTCACTTCAGTCTTTGTGTGATACTTGTTGCAAGAGCGACGGCGAATGCTTGAGTTGCAGAGAATGGTCGGCGGAAATCCAAAGTGTATGCACCACCTTCGATTCGCCCAAATTGCAACACCTGTTTTCCATCCATTTCCACCTGAACGAAGTAAAACAATAAGAATGGGTGTCACAAAATGAAACAACAGCTATTGAATACCTTAAGTTCTCGCCGACTCCTAGAGTGATCGCGACCCGCCAAAGTCGAGCTGAAATTAACCAATCAAAATCTAATCCACCAAGCCCGAACTGCTGGTCCCCGCTAGGATCCTGTCGCGGCGCGGAAGGCATTGTCGCAGACAAAAGTCGCCCGACGCGTGCCCTGCGCATACGCAGCGATTATGTCAGTTAAAAGATGTTTACTAAATAGCACTGTAGACATCGCCGAGTACATTGCAGTGATCGCTTCCGCTGACTGCATCCTGGCGTGCTGCCTTTCTCGGCCGTACTGACCGGGGACCTCCTCTCGGGTACCCTTGACTGCTCATGTACCACCCCATTAGAGGATTACCCCCTTGATGACAATGCGCACTTCCAGGATGTGCCCTCGTAGACCCAACGCACACTTTCTGTCGAGGAGTTTCACTTCACCACTGGGGCAACATGTCCCAAGACGATACAGTTTCTTGTATCGGATTTGGTGCAATAAGCAAACGTATATGATAAACTCAGGACGGAAAGTGGTGCATTGCGGCAAGTGGCACGCTCCCGATCGCGCGCTGTCTCGAGGATCAGATCCTGGATCGTGGGTCGCCCGGGCAACCAAGTTTTCCATCCCTCCGGGGTAAATTAATTGGTACCAGACTTGTCTGGGAGGATAAAACACTGACTTGTACATCGGCTGGCCCCCGCAAGTCATTGTATAGGCCACATCGCATTCAAACGCCACTACGAATGTACAAATGGAAGTAGAATGCGTGCCGCATCCCAAAAGGGATTGATCAACGGCAAATGCTTTATCCTTTTTGATTACATAAACTTGCAACCAAGCCTCCATTTCAACACAAACTGAGCGCCTATATCAGCCCAAAGAACATAAAAGGTCGAAAGAGACCAGGCCCATCTTCAACCTAATCATGCAAATCGATAGTGAAGACGTCCCTGAGCTAAATGCCACATTTCTTTACAGTTATCAACTCCAACCAAAACCTCTTTAATTCGTGCTTAACACAGATACTATCGAGCTTGCAAATTATTGGAAAAATTTCAAATGAGCACATAAGTCTCAAATGTCACTCAACATTGGGCGACAATGTCAACGTGTCAAATAAAGTGCCACCCGGAAATGGGTGACACTGTCACCAAAGGGTTAGACAGCCTTCTCCACAGAAATAATGTGCTTCTTACCTGGTACACCTGATTATGTTCATTCCAGAATGGCGTCTTATTGTGCATTGTGAGGATAGGAGTTGCCGACGTCGATTTCGGCGCCGGGCCCTCTCCAAGAGCGCATTTCATTTCTTCTAAAGTGCGCATCAACTGCCTCACTTCGCCTCTTACATCTCCACTGCCCACCTAAAGTACAAGCATGCTTCAGTTTGAGTACTTCCTGTTTTCTGAAAAGAATGACAGGATGACGGTATTGAAACGAACCTTCTTCTCGATTTCGTTCACCCTTCGAAGCAGTTCTTTCATCTGTGAACGCATCTTGTTTATGGACGCACGGTCTCGCTTCTAAAGTACGGAATCAAAGGACAAATGCAAAGTGGAGGATAGAATAATCTGCAAAAATGTAAACTATCACGAACAGGGTTGAAATCTGCATGACGATGACTGAGCTGTCCTGCGATTCTTGCTAACTTATCAAGATGCGCTTTGATGTCATCGCTGTCCCGTTGTTGGCCAGCTTTCACCGCCGCTGACGAACTGGGAGCTGAGCTAACAGAAGCCACTGCAGATGATGTGCCCGGTATCAGAGGATCGCGATCGTCGACTCCATCTAAAAAGGTTCAGTCAATCTTGACCTTCCAAATCATTACACAAGCGCAGCATATATTATATTTTTATATTATATTTCATCTCCATGATCTGAAGCAGGTCCCAGAAAAAATGAGTCTCCTTTATGAACAGCTTTTCTATTACATTTAATCGAACATTCACCTAAATATGAAACAAAAACTAGATACCACGGTCAGTCTTCATTGAGGACATTATCGCCACTAACGAAAACTACCATTAGTTATGATTTCTCCTGCTATCTTTGATTGAAATGCACTTCTTTTTAAATTAGGTGGAGGGGACTATTTCAGGCCGGCAGTCTGCAATTTGCGAAAAAAAGATCAAACTATCAGGAGATAACAATAAAGTACGATCCATTACGGAAGTGAAACTAACGAAACTAAAAACAAAATCTAACCATAATCATTAGACGACACTACAGAGTAGCTAGCCCAAGCCATGAGATCGTGGCGATTTTGAACGCGAGCATCCACTACATTGACATCGCAACATGGGTGACCAAAAGCAGCACTCCCAATCATTTGGACCTTCTTCCTACCTAACTAGACAAATGCTGCAAAAATAGCAAGATGTAGTTTTACCGATGTATTCGAGTGAATCAATTTCGTCATGCCACGTGCTAGTAGTGCTCATCGTTTGCTCCGTGTCATCAAGACGAATCAACTCCGAGCCGGGGGATGATTTCGTCCTTTGAAGCTGCAACCTGCAAGAGAAATCATTAACGGATGCGTAGAAGGAATTGTAGACAACAACCTGAGAGCTAGAACTCTGTTACAGATGCGAACTGAATAGCCAAAAAATGGACACATTGGTAACAGTGGAATGTCGCGCAGCAACAGTGATCTGCAGTTGAGAATGCGAGTGGGTTTTGCGAATCCTTTGAACAAACCTGTGATGTTCCCTGTGACGATGACGTACCAATCCCTCCAGCGTCCATAGCCGCTCGCAGTGAGGTGCATTCAGAAACAACCTAAAACGGAATATCACTGACAAAAAAAATCGTAAAATGAAGCTCTCCGAAAATGAAGAACTTTCTACAAAAAAGGCACTTTTATCTCTTGAAATCTGAACTACATGGAATTCTGAGAAGAAAACGCGTTTATCAGAATTTGTGCATCTTTACTGCGTTTCGGTGAAGACAGTGTTCAATCAACGAAGGAAAGTGGGAGACAAATATAGATATGAACGTACTCTGTCAAAAAACGCCCGCTCCTCGCGCGTCAACCCATCATCATCTCGAAAACGTTGCTGCGAAACGAGAACAGCCAAATCGTCTACTTCGACCTCGCTCGTCGCTGGCGAAGTGCATGATGATATCGTATGAGTATTCGTGATGGATGCTTGAATAATGAGCGATATTCTCATGTGTGACAAAGGAGCAATGAGAGTGGAACCTGTTCGATCTTGCATCCCTCCTAACACTGCCATATCAATCGTCATTTGGCGCGGTTGAAGGTGAAGCACAGATGTTTTATAGACAACCTGAACAAAGTTTGGTAATAAGAAGATGCCAAAAAGGTAACTGCTCTATGAGCAGTATTAGGTCCAGTTGAAACTAACAGGGAAGGAATCACTGGTAAGGGAACTAGTCCGAGTACCTTTATCCGAAATCTAGTTCCCATGATTTTCTTTGTTTGGCATAGACGCTAAAATACCCTTGTCCAACTTATCGACACCTAACGTGTCTGCACTTAAAATGCAATAGGCAAATGAAGTCGCCCACGTCGCGCCGACTCTCTACGTAATAGTTTTTATATTATAAGAATTGACTCTGCAAGTGTTCATCTTGTTCACCTGCTGTAAAGCAATTGAAAATATGGGTGAAAACAATTTCGTAGAACATTCGAAGAGGTTTCAAACAATGTGTTTCAGAAAAAAAAAGAATAATTAGGTCGACGCTAAACATTGTGCGATGAAGGATTTTGGTGGTTTCGGTGACCAACTCGACACCTGTTTTATTTAGAACAGCGTCCTGAACTCCGAACCGAAGGACAGAGGCAAGACGTACATTTTGAATAACTCTAAACTAAACTGATCGCTGAAACCTTATAAATGACGTGATTTAATGTGCAGCAATAGTTTGCATCGGAAAAAAAACAAAGAAACTGAAAGAACCAAAACCCGACATGCATTGAGATTTCCACACAATTTTGAGCAAACAGCCACATCGGATTGATTAGCAACACTACAACACAGGCCACCTCATGATGCCCGCCCAAGTAAAAATTTCACAAGCAATGATACGTTTTGAAACAAATTGACAAATCATTTTCTTGAGAAGCCTCTTCTTTTGCGTTTAATCACAGGCACCTAGGCACCTTTACGAAGCTTCCAGACCATAAATGGAGAGAAGATTCTGAGCAAGCTCTTTCATGTAACCAGAATAGAAAGTGAAAGGAAACTAAAGGGAAAAGATCAGCCCATGAGGAAAAGGAGACCTTCAGTCAGGAGCAACTTATACCATTTCCGCAAAACGAATGACGTCCAGTCTGGGTACAATTTCTGTAGAGCGACAAACAGCAGAAACCTTTTCCCCACAGCAGCACACGAATTCTCTATCGCAGTCACTAGCATATTTCAGAACCACGTCAGAGCGTGCAGAGTTCTAGCCATAAGGCCCAGGCGCGCATACACATCAAGAAATTTGATTACATGCGCTCCAAAAGCATTTACTTCGCTTTAAATGACATCCCATTTTGCATACTTCTTACAACATAAAAAGTTCTTGGCAAAACGAAAGGCACAAAAAGTAGGAGACAGAAACTCTATTGAAAAGAATTGCCAAGGAAACTGAAGCTTGCAAGCATTGATATATTTTACTCACTTGGCCAAGGAAATCCGGGAGGTGTTTTGGAGACATAGATGTGATACTGAAACGTGTGCACCATACATTAGATGAGACTAACGAGGTCTGAGATCTGGTCGAGGAGGTCGAACATGTCTGAAACAAAACAGATCCTGCATTAAATACTGAATTTTCAACACTGCAGCGCTTGATTCCACCTTCGTCTAAAAGTCAAGAAACTGAAGTCTCCCAAAAGAATCTGCGGAGGCATACGACATTCCCTCACAGAGGTCAACCCTCTGGATACACGAGAAAAGCTGCGAGTACTGAGTTCGAAAGTTCATCACAGAAACTCAGACGTGGATCGAAATGACAGTAGAAGCAAAGAAATGCCATGCTTCGATAAAAGCTTGCGCATCCCTTAATATTAGACTATTTGCCCCAGCGTGCCTCTCCGAGATAAATTCCGCATCGAAACTTCCCGTCACAAATAAACACCATAACCTTCCCCAAGAGCTAGACCTGCTCCTAATAATGCACCTTGGACGTCGCCCACTAAAAGCATCTATCAACGACAGAATGACAACTTATCAGTGAAAAATATGAAAATCCACATGTTGTCTTCATATATCGAAACTGACAAAAAGCAAACAATAGAGGTTTAGAAAAAGCAGCAAAATTCAAAAGTTGTACCTCGACATAAGTGCCCGAAGTTGTCTCTTGCTTCTTCTCCATAAAGAATTCCGCCCATTGGATGTGCGTGGAATTATTGAAAGATCCTCTGAAAGATTAAATAGCAATGAAGCGCATATAGAAACGCTGGAAAACTATGGATGGATGAAGTGGGGCCTTTCATGCAAAAATATGAGAACTAGTCCTTCTGGCAATGAGATGAGCCGATCAATCGAAACGGCTGCAAAGGAAGGGAAAAAATTCTTCACATTCATAAATACGATACCGGAGTACACCAAAAAAGCCTCCACCAGAGCAATGTCAGAGGAAGCAGCCACAAACGCAAGATAAGATACTTCACACCGCCGCAGCCCAGAGTTGAGAAGTTCTTGTTTGGTTTAGAAAACAGAAGAGCAAAAAAGTTGTACTCGAATTTATGACCAAAACGGCTATTAAAATCCTAGGTAACCAGAGATGAAAATAAGTCGCACATATACGGTGACATGGTTTACAAAGCTTTTGAACGGAAGAAACAGTGGCGGACCTCATTCCTACACATTGAGTTTCTCTTGATCTTTTGTTTGCATTGATCATAAAAATCATGAACAATGGGATCTCTTCTTTACGGGAAAAAGAATCGAATAAAAGTTCAATTTACAAAGGCAGGAAGACTGGGGATGGGCTATTTAGCGCACCAATGAGGACAAGATTTAATATATCTCAGCACCAAGTTCAGCTAGATTATGCTTTAAGGGGTATGTACGAAGTTGAAAAACCAACAAACACAATTGGCTGGCGCTGGATTGCTCACTGCAGTTTAGAAATTCGATATATACGCTCTAACGATAGCCGAAACCATGGGAAGATTCGTTGCTGACGCGACCGACGCGCTTTTCGACAGTCGTGACCACCAATGCTCACCTTCGCTTCTATGACTCATTTGATCAAGTTATTAGTACACAGCAAAGCTTCAACTATGAGTAAGGAGCACTTTCACACCTGCTGAGCTTTTCGCGAGTTCACCTGCAAAAGCTTTTCCCTCGCTACAGCGCCGCAACTAGCCGGGCATACTGTGATTAATAGCAAGACTAATGGTGAAACTACAGCAACTGTCTCTACAACTCAAAAAAGCATGTCCGCCTCACAACACGAGACCACA